TCAAATAAATACTTTTATCCATTCAAAGACTTGTATAACAGTTTCCACAAAAATATTAAGCAGCACAACTGATTTTAGTATTGATAATAAGAAGAAATGTTTCCTAAGCACCAAATCAGCGGATTAGAATAATTTCTAAAGGATCATGTGACACTGAAGCCTGGAGTAATGATTGCTGATCTTTGCCAGCACAGTATATTAATTAATTATATACAGAATATAATATACGGATTAAATCACATTTTAAAATGTACTAAAGAAAGAGACTGTTTTATTGCAATACTATTGCAAATTGTAATATTTCCCAATATTACTGTTTTTACTGGATATTAAAGCAAATAAAAGCAGCCTTGGTGAGCATAAGAGACTTCTTTCAGAAACACTGAAAAACACTGTAGTGCATCTATATATATGAGACAGATATTATATAAGAGGCAGATATTTTGGCCAGTAACTAATTGGAGAAATGAGGTTACCAGGCCTGTTTCCCTCAGCTCCAGGGCTTTCCTCTTCATCGCCAGGACTCTGTGTGTCCTCAGGAAGAGGCCTACAAAGATCACATTATTTAATCCCATTTGCACTTAATATGAACATAAATAAGGTGCATGTATCTAGTGCAGTTTACCTGGGGAACTCCTCATCCTGCCATTCCTCCCGGAGCTCCATGTCGGGGATGAAGGCTGATGTCTTGGCGTTTTCTGAATGCCTGCAGGTATAAATTGAACATGTAAAGAAAGTTAATGGGGCTTCTTTGTCCCTATGTCAAAATTTTATTAATTATTAACAATTAAATGATCAGCAGGAAAATAACTTACTCCTCAATTTTGTCCAAATAATATTTCCAGGTTTGTTTGTTTTAATTACACAGTTTTAATTAATTGACAGTCTGATGTTCAGTTAAAGGCAGGAAAACCACACTAGGCCTACTAGAAAATGGCAAACTATGATCAATAGTAACAGTGAGTGCTGGTGATTAGATAGATAGATAGATAGATAGATAGATAGATAGATAGATAGAGAAACAGGGCTGTGTACGCTTGAAACCTCGCTAACGCCCATCACATCGCTCTTTACGGACATATGTAAATAATGGCAGTGTAAACATGCTAAACTCACCTTTTCAATAACCTCGTACAAGAGATGCTTCTCAAAAACAAACCGCTTTTTCATTTGGTAAAAAAATAAGTATTTCCTAAGAACATTACAAGCGCTATAGTTAAACTAATTTATTATAGGCTACTGATGTAGCCTATAACTAGCCATTTACCTTTACAACGACAAGGGCGATTCTTTCTCTACCTCGCCCAAGCAAAGCACCTTCACGCCAAACACATAATTCAGCCAATCAGAGCGCGTCTCCGCACCTGAGAGAGCTGTTTCAACGCCCCGCCCACAACCCTACAGCTGTACACGTTCAATGTCAGCCCAGGGCTTCATAGCTGCGGAGATTTAAATCCATCAACTCTAATGGGTTATAAAATAACCTATTCAAAAATAGTTTATGCTAAATAAAATAACATGAACAGCTTGGGACAAAATTTTAACTTTAGTTGTCATTAGTTTTGAAAACAGAAAAATGTATGAAATCCTTCATCCCGAAGGTTTTCTTTCTATACTAGTTCACCAGCGAGTTCAACAGCATCACACAAACTCTGGTGAGTTTTAAAGTTGTTTTAAGCTAAATTTTGAGTAATTGTGCTTATTTTTTGTGCCACAACTAGTGTCAGTTCTGTGACACAAACTTTAACGAAATTGTTTAGGATTTTAAAATGAATTTCCTTCATATTAGGTAGCTCCTAAAAACCATAAAAACAAAATGATGGCTGCATTTAATACGTGTGATGTGCAAAATTTGAGTCAACACTGAAATTTTTCTTTTACTGATGACAATTTACTGAACTGAAAATCCGTTTGAAACCATCAAGTAGTCTCAATTCTTTTATTCACCAAAGTGAATGCTAGGTTTCTTAATATTTATCATTAATATTTAAGATTAATTTTTGTGTCAGACAGTGCAATATATAGATATATTGTCATGCAATTTTTTGTGAAAACGGAAACAGCAGCATATGATCCCAAACATAGATTAATACCTTAACAGATTCATCCAAAACATGCACTGCATCTACTTTTATTCCAATATTGTAGCTTGTATTTTCTAACCACTATTCAAATATACTGAAAATAGCAATTCTATTGTGTCAGACTTGTCAAATACAAACTCAAATATAAAACTTGTCCTTGTTTCTACCTCAAGTATTTCTTTACGTCAGCACATGTGGTAATTACACGTGGCACAAATGACCAGAAAATCTCGTTTTGTTTTCAGCTGATTCCGGGCAGGTAATGAGCCTGTGTGCTCCTGCTGGCAGCAACATAAGAGCTTCTGTCGAACGTCACATAACTCAACCTGTTTCTGATGTGAAGCCATTATCAAATTCATTCAGAGCTTGATGGTATTGTCTTCACTTCAACCATGTAACCTTTACATACACTGTACACTATTGTCCCGCAAGACTGCTCCGAGATTGTACATTATTTCAAACATAACTGCTCTGAGGAGGCTGTATGTTTTTAGTTACTGACTGACTCGCTAGTCAATACAGCATCAAGACACTGTTGTGTAATCTCAAGCCCAGTGTCGTCCTATCTAAGACCTTATCAGATGTCAAAATGTATTTTAAGAAATATGTAGGGCGTTTTTTTTTAGAACAATATATGACAATTGTGGCAGACAACATGATACCTCCACACTGCAAAGCATAAGGTGTGTGCTGTTTCAGCAATTGTTCTTTGATGTAACTCTTATAAGATTTAGTAAAGTAATCGCCTGCTGGGAAATCCTTTGTCCTGGCTTGTAAGATGCTACAGTAACTCATTCTGTAACTTGTTGTTATTAAGGATATGGGTATTATTGGTCATATCACATAAACACTGAGGGTTTTTATGACACTAAGTTTCATGCATTCTCTTCTTGTCTGAACATGAACTTGGAATTTGGTATGGAAATTAACAAGTCAAAAGACCTATTCTGTGATTATAGTAGAATTAAGAGCTTTAAATCATCTCAATTTTACAGTCTCAAACCATCAAGTTACAATGACATGTAAGTGTTTGTAGTGGTGCCAATGGAAATCAAACATTAAAGATTAACGTATTTCCCCTTTAAAACAACATAAAAACTTACAAAACTCTACATTTTTGTCAAATTTTTCCATTTACATTTGGATGTTTAACTTGTGACAGCACTGACACTCGTGTCAAATATAAATGACAGAAAATCTGATGGTCTGTCAGATGAAAGGATATGAGAGATGATGTCTTTCTGTGGTTGTTAGGTCTCAAATATTAGTCAAGAAGATTGGCAAAAGTAGCGGAAATCAGTTCAACGGCAACTTCCTTTTTCTGAAATCTTCTTTCTAAATAACTAGACACAGAAGTGTTACAAGGATTTATCTCGCGTCCTTCTGCTGTACGATTCACAGTGCAATGGAACAACTCGTACGTTTGGCAAAAGCAGCGATCATCATCCAATATGCGCTTATGACCTCTTATGGTACATGTTTTGATCTTATAAATATGTTTTGACCAGGTATTATAGTAACTGAAACCCTTAAATCATCATTGTAAATTTTGACTTACCCATTTGGCATGTACCCTTCCCTCTGATCTGAGTAAGTCCCCATGTCTAAAGTCTTTAAAATGAAAAGTGTCTCGATTAGAAATGCATTCAGTGAACTCAGCTGCTGACCATGACCTGAAGTGTTTCATGAGCTTCACCAGTTTCAGTGACTGTATCTTGTGTCTTGTGTTAGGAAACTCACCCTGACTGTCAGTACAGGTTTTTCAACATTTCTGACTTCTGCTGACTGAATTGTCTGTCTCCCATTGGCTCAGCTGCTTTGAGCACTTCTGCTCCCCCACAGGGAAGGCTGGGAAGGTGGAGGGAGACTCCACAGACAGGCATGGCTACGTGGTCCTAATACCCTTGAGGTTACAGGCTCCTTCAAAAGACAATTAACTACTCCATATCTTTAGCTGTTTATATTCAATTAGGTACATACACTACTGTTCAAACGTTTGAGGTCAGTAAGTTAAATACTTCTATTCAGCAAGGATTCATTAAACTGATCAAAAGTGACAGTAAAGACATTTGCATTACTCAAACAAATGCTTTTCCGATTTCAAATGAATGCTGTTCTTTTGAACTTTCTATTCAAAGAATCTTGAAAAAAAACGTGTCACGTTTTCCACAAAAATATTATGCAGCACAACTGGTTTCAACATTGATAATAAGAAATATTATTTGAGCACCAAATCAGCACATTAGAATGATTTATAAGGATCATGTGACACTGAGAACTGGAGCAATGAATGTTGACAATTCAGCTTTGCCATCAAAAATCCATTTTAAAATGTATAATTTTAAAAAACATATTTGGATTTGTTTATTACATTGTAATAATATTTCACTATATTAACGATTTTCCTGATGAAATAAATGCAGCCTTGGTGAGACTTTCAAAAACATTACAAAATGGTACTGACACCAAACTATTAGTGTGCAAGAACAATAAAAAAATTAAAAAAAAATGAATGCAATGAAATTGTGTCTTTATACAGACAAAGCTCACAAACCACATATGGAACAATTTGAAAACGTTTTATTCATAATGAGTCACAGAGAACTTAAAATAAAGTCCTTGGCAATAAAATACTTGACAGTGGATGTGCTCTTGAATGTCCTGTTTCACGACCATAGCACAGTAATACATTTACATTAAATCAACATTTCATACAACATTATTATGATATTGGCGGAATCGACTAGTATGTGCTTAGTTCTCCCGAGGCAGCATGCAGCAATCCTCTGCTGTCACCATGTCAAATCTCACCAAACTATCGGTCAGGGTTAAATCACAGGGGATACACAACACCTCAGAACACCAACATACCATCTTATATGTTTCACGTCCAATATTAACTGATTTTGTTTAACGCTTAAGTCGTAACTAAATTAGCTCTTTATCTTCTATGGGGAAAAAACCTCTTTATATAACTGTCTGACAGAACGTCATTATATAAGATTTGTCCAATTAGGCCTTTAAAATGCCTTGAATTGAGCTTTTGTATTTATTAATATAATGAATATTATAATTATGATGATAGTCCAGTATGATTGAATCTGCTAATAAGCTGCTGGGCGTATAAAAAAAATCAAACGGACCGTTCATGAAAATCTCAACAAACTCATTTTTTTCAACCCTAATTTACCCAACAGCCGTCAAATCATCAAAGAAATTATGTAAGATAACATAATAGAAATGAACAGAATACTAAAGTTTTAAATCCCAAATGTTTAACATGCCGAACACACAAATACAGCTGAGGTCTTTGGTAGTTAATGGTAAAATCTCATTGGCTAAAATGCAGGTGCCCTGATTCTAATCAGGAGCAGGTCAGTTAACACCTATAACATGCAAAAGGCCACAGGTCACTTTTCACGTACCAACAATAACTCCTTTACAATATTACTGGGGAATCATGACAAGATGTACTAATTCAAAGAATGTTCATCTTCATTTACATTTGATGCTGCGTGAGATAAAATGACATAACGTCATCAATTTAAGATCTACGGATTGCATCTTTGGCACGCTGCTAATTACCACACAATCATTCTGACTCATCCCAAAAGGAACTGTGTAAATGCTGATATACTTGCACTGTTTGCAGACAAACAGGCAGCACTGAAAAAAAATTAATAATAATAATATATAATTTATAAATGTTAATATGCAACTCTAGTATTGTTTCAAAGTTTAACTGAAATCATGACTAGGATAAAACTGTAAGAGTGTTACTTTAAATGCATTTTCCATTCGGTTTTGTAAATCAAGGGAGAAGTCAAAACGATTTTCTGTGGGAATCAATGCCATGCCACAGACATGATCTGCAGACAAGCTGAAAATAACTTCTTTAATTAACACTACAAAGAATTAAGTATGTTATTTGTATCAAAAGCAACAATAGCTACCACGTTATAATTAATTGTATAATACCGGAAATTCATTCGGAATCAGTTTATTCCATTAACTGTCAGTTGCTAGCTTGCACTGGGTGCTTATTGTCAATTTTAGATAATATGTGTAAATGTTTATATGTCTCAATGAGACTTCTGATTAATTTAGAAGATTAAATATGAATATGACTGCGAACAATAAATAAACAGCCTAAATCGGAATTGTTTTTTACGATAGTCAAACTTTAAAAATTGTATATAAAATGCATTTTTGTAATGCTCCATTCGAATGAATGGTCTCTTCAGACTGTATCGTACCTTTTGTGAGTTAACCAGATCAATAAAGTGCCATTTCCTTCTCAAGCCCTGATGCAGCACTGTTGGATATGAACTTCATCCTCTTGAAGACGCAGAAGGACTTTCCTTCTCCAGCTCTAATTCAAGACTCTCTTGGACAACAGATTCTCATCACTGTCCCTCAGATGACGTGTCCTCCATGCTGGCCATCTTGGTAACTTTCTCCACCAAAACCTCAGGACTGATTTTTGGTAGGCCATTGTCCAAGGGACAACCTTCCACAAGACTGTTCATTGGCGTTGGAGGAACCTGGCCATCGTCCTCTATCCCAGCGTCCTCGGGACATTGTTGTGAGTCACTCTGGTCCTGATTAGAATCATCGTCCAGATCTAGGTCCTCTATGTTCCCACTTTGATACACTTTTCTTTCCCTCTCCTTCAGGAAGTCTGCGATTATGGGCATTACCTTCTTGCGGGATGCTAATGTGTTACCCTGTATAAAGGCCTTCACATCTGGATATGGACTGCTCATTGGCTTAAGGTCCAGACTGGGGTTTTTGGCTTTTTCTAGTGCTTTACTCATCTATGAAAAAAGAAAATACAGATATCAATTAGTAAAGTGAGAAAAATCTATAATTTTAGCTTTCATTTTTAAAAATGTGTATTTATTTTATTTTATATTTTACTGTTGAAAAGTTTGGGGTTAGTAAGATGTTTAATGTTTTGGAAAGAAGTTTGCTATGCTCAGCGAGGCTGCATTTATTTGATAAAAATGACAGTGAATATTGTGAAATATTATTACAATTTAAAACTTTTTTTTCTGTTTTAATCCATTTTAAAATGTAATTTATTCCTGTGATGACAGAGCTGAATTTTCAGCATCATTACTCCAGTCTTCAGTGTCACATGAAATTATTGTAATATGCTGATTTGCTCAAGAAACATTTCTTATTATAATCTTCAATGGTGATGTGAAATGTTTTTGTGGAAACTCTGATAATTTTTTTTTCCAGAATTCTTTGATGAACAAGAAGGTTAAAAAAATATCACTTCTTTGAAATAGGCATCTTTTGTAATATTATAAATGTCTTTACTGTCACTTCAAAATCAATTTAAAGGGATAATTTACATTTAGTCATTGAGCAGATGCTTTTATCCAAAGCAACTTACAAATAAGGACAATAGAAGCAATCAAAATCAACAAAAGAGCAATGATATGCAAGTGCTATAACCAGTCTCAGTTAGCTTAACGCAGTACACGTAGAAAGGTTTTTTTAATTATATAATAAATAAAAAGAAAACCGATAGAATAGCAAAAGAATAGAGCAAGCTAGTGTTAGAGGCCTTTTTTTGCTTTTGTTAATTTATAATAAAT